ATTAGCGAGTCTTTACTTTAAAATTGCAGCATTTTCACTGTGGAAATACTCGACTGTGGTCAAACGAGCCTATGGCTTTCGGTGCCCTAACCGAGATATATGATTGAAGTCGGACTGGCCGAGTTGAACAATACTCACCTCGATACACGAAAGTGGCTCAGAAGCCGGGTCCCTTATGAAAGCGTTCTAATTCTTTATACTAGAGCGGGTGATTCAATATATTCCCTTATGTATCTATTGCCATACTGATCAGAGCAAGAATCAGGTTCTGCAGGCGGACTCCATGAACAGCAATTCTATTTCGCTTTTCTCCGGACATGCGAGGAATTTCTGCAATCTCCATTTTGACCTGAAAGCGCTAGTTTGCTACTCCAAATCATTACCAGGAATTTATACAATAACATACAGAGCGTTTCGACGGGGAAACCTCTAGTTGTCTGCGAGGCTGTAAAGGCGCTCAGACCCTGACAATGGATTCAGCCTGGCTGTGGGTTGATCCTTCTTTCATGAATTGGACTGCATAACTATCGGTATTGATCGTCAAGTAGCGGTCGACACCCAGTGAGGCTCTTTTACTACCATTCTCCATGGTAATGCGCAAAGGATGCCCTACACATATAACAGTTCCATGGGATCTTTGAACAAGACTGGTATTCCCATGGTCCGCGTGCTTTGCTGCATAACGTCTAATGCTTCTCGTCATAGGCTGCAATAGTTGACCGTATACTCGTCGGATGTTCTGGGCCGCAAAGAAATGGGAGCTTCAGGATTAAGGCCGTAGACGTTCTAAAATACCCAGGGTGAGCAAGCGCGCCATTCCAGGTGATCCATACGAGGAAAAATAGTGACGCGATATGGTCATCCTACGGACGGTTCGGTATCCTTGAAAATTCAGACCACAACGCATTGTCCCAATAAGACTCTTGTGCTTCATTCACTGGAAGATGTGCGCGTGTGGGCAGCCAGTGGCGCCCTTCGGGCCAACTACTCGCCTCAGCCAAGGGGTTCTACCTCATCTTTTCCTTAATCAGACATATGTGCGTTAGAAAACTTGCTGTTGTCTTTCAAGGAGTCTGTTCGTGATAAGATCCAGAAGTTGGTTTTCCGCAAGCGGGTGTGCCCCTTATGATAACCAGGCGGTACTTTTCGGCCAAGTCAATTGAGAAGACCTTGACGCGGTCACATACTTTCGAAAATGTCTAAGAATACTGTCAATACCATGGTTCTGCTGCGTTTGAATGGTGATTTCTTACCAAGATGTCCAGTTACTAGTGATGCAAATTGGTGCTCATCATCGTCCCAGTGTGGCATTGCTGGAGTGGTGAAGAGGGTTGGTGCTGTGGGTAAAGTTAGTTGATTCAAGAATAATGGTCTTGCACAATACCGAATTGCAGATATCAAATCTGAAAACAGGTTTGGAGGGACAAAGAACAATATACATTTGCGGGGAGGATGAGGAGGTCTCCGAGACGTGATCAGATTGATAAGATAAGCACTGCCACTCTTGGCTTACCGCTTTTATATATCATCTTTTTTTTCCCCTTTCATCCTTTCTTTCTCTTCAATTACATATTCTACCATCATCTTACTGCCTAGCTATTCAGTCACAATGGAGGACCACGTTCGTCAGAGCATGTCCAACCACCCAACTCCCTTCCACCATCACCACCACCAATCCCCTCGCGAACACCACACCCCTCTCTCCTATAATGAAGCCACGAGCACGGCCTTGGAACCAATTGAACAGAACCAGCATCAGCAATACCATCGCTCGACCAGCGACAGCGATGAAGAGAACCAGCCGCCACCGCACTACACCCGCGAAAATGACCCCTTCCAACTAGCCTCGAAGATTAAATCGGAGGAAGAGATCCGCCAGATCCAGATCCAAGCAAACACATCCCGGAAGCGGAAGATGGCAGGAAATGGCGGCACAGCGGCAGTGGCAGCTACGGCACTGAAGAACCCCAAGGCGACAATGACCGGGGCGAGCCGGCTTTCCGGATTCTACAAGACGCAGAACGAGAATATCGAGCGGATGCTGAAGCCCGTCGAGGAACACGTCCGGGCCGCGCGTGAAACAAACAGCAACAACCAGCTGCGCTACAAGATCGCCGTGTACGGTAGTTTCGCGGCCAACGTCGCGCTAGCCATTCTCCAGCTCTACGGTGCCATCGCGTCCGGTTCACTCTCCCTCTTCACAACCATGGCAGATGCCGTCTTCGACCCCTTGTCCAACCTCACTCTCCTCCTCTGCAACAAAGCTGTCAACCGCGTAAACCCACGCAAATTCCCCGCCGGCAAAGCCCGCATCGAAACAGCAGGCAATATCTGCTTCTGCTTCCTCATGACCTCCGTCTCCCTTATCCTCATCGCCTTCTCCTGCCGCGAACTAGCCGAAGGCTCCACCTCCCCAACCGGCGAATTCCACCTCCCTTCCGTCATCGCCGTCGTTGTTGCCTTCGCCACAAAACTCGCCCTCTTCATCTACTGCTGGGCCATGCGCAACCAAGTCTCCCAAATCCGGATTCTCTGGGAAGACCACCGCAACGACCTCATCATCAACGGCTTCGGTATCCTCACATCTGTGGGCGGCAGCAAACTCCGCTGGTGGATCGATCCCATGGGCGCTATCATCCTGTCTTGCCTGGTCGGCTGTCTGTGGCTGTACACCGCATACCACGAATTCCAGCTGCTCATTGGCGTTACCGCGGATACCAAGATGCAGCAGCTGATTACGTATATCTCGATGACGCACTCGCCTATGATCACGGCTATTGATACCGTTCGTGCGTATACTTCTGGACCAAGGTTGTTGGTTGAGGTTGATATTGTGATGGAGCCGAATGAGTCGCTACGGGCTACACATGATGTCGCGGAGGAATTGCAGATGAAGCTCGAGTCGTTGCCGGATGTGGAGAGGGCGTATGTGCATGTGGACTATGAGACAACGCACAAGCCTGAACATTTTCTCAAGAAGGAACTGTAATTGTATATGGTCGTGTTTATTTGATCTGACTGACGTTAAATCTGATTAGATAGATGAAAGTACGTAATTAACAATGCATTGAACAGAGTGGTATCATAATTCCAACCCTGCAGGCTGCAACTAGTCTAAACTATCCAAAGCAAATTCTCGCAATTAATAGCTATGCAAAAGAAAATAAAACTTTATAGTAGAAAGCGACTATGACTCCGTCTGCTCAAAAAATGCAATCGTCGAACAAAACGTACTCGTGTTCTCATCCTCGGGAACCAACGACTCCCCACTCGACGAGGTAATCATATTAACACTCGCCTTCGTGCTCAGACCATAGATTTTGATATCCGAGCAGTCCACCTCTACCATATTCTCCTGACAATCCTCTGTGTTGAGACATGTCTGCGCGTAGTTCTCAAAGAAACTGTACAACCCGGCACCGTACACATATGTCTCGGCGGAGTTGAGCACGCGCAGACCCCATGCCTTGCGGCACGAGGCGGTGTCACAATTTGAGAAATCGGGATCGTTCCAGGAAGTTTGGGGAGTGAAGGGGGTAAGCGAGTCCGGGTTGGATTGGTAGTAGGGTGTTTCGGTCTGGATGAGGCCGAGGAAGACGTTTTCCGCGTTGGAGACCTGGTAGTTGTAGAGTTGGTTGTGTTCGGAGGCGGTGCCGTACATCCAAACAGCGCCGGTGGACTCGATGAGCACACCACGGCCGTTGTAGATGTTGATCTGGTTGTGGTCCTGCAGGTCCAGTTCGTGGTCTGCGGTCCAGAACCAGGCGTTCTCGAGGTATCCGCTGGCCTTTCCGCTGATGTGGAAGAGGAGGAAGGCGCCGACGCACTCGGAGTTGGCCTTGGTGGTTTCCTTGGGGGTCTTGGCGCACTTGTCGCTTTGGAGCTCGGTGCCGGCGGAGCCACCGATGCGGAAGTGGGTGTCCCACATGGCTGCACCTCCTTGTTCCTCCTCGACGAGGTTCCACTGCATAAGAATGGCGCCGGGGGCAGGGCCCTTGGTTTGCAGGGTGATGTCGCTAATCTCGACGGTACCCTTTTCGCCTTCCTTTCCGACCTGCAGCATGGGAATGGGGTTCTTCTCGTCGCCGAACTTGTCGCCATGGGCCATGAGGACGGGCCAGACTTCACCGACAATCTTGACGCCACTGGGGATGAGGATGGTGTCGGTGACGACGTACGAACCGTGGTCGAAGTAGACGATCTGGTCTTCGGTGGCGCTGTTCAGAATCTTCTGAATAGCCTGAGTGTCGTCGGTCTGACCATCACCCTTGGCACCGGAGGAGCGGACGCTAATGAACGAAGAAGCAGAGTAGCTCTCGTACAGGGGCTTGGAGCGTTCGAAGATCTTGCCCTTGCTGTCCAAGAGGCCAGTGGCCTTGGCCTGGGAAGGCATGACAGTTTGCAGACGGGTCTTGGTGACGGTCTGGCTAGAGCAGGCACCGTGGCTGTGGCTATGACCGCCAGAACCACCGAGACCGAGAGAAATACCGACGCCACCAGAGACAGGCGCGGTGGTGTGTGCGGACACGGGTGTGGCCGAAGTGGGCTCCTGAGCAGGGACGGTGCCGTGAGCGACCGAAGTAGCTACGGGCGTGGGCTCAGCCGAAGACTGGGCCTGAGGAACAGAAGTCGCGGCGGGAACAGACACCGAAGTGTCAATACCCGAGAAGAAAGAGCCGACGATACTCGACACATCCACAGACGGTATCGACATGTCGCCGCCAAACCCGGTGGGAAGCACGCGCGACGCGGAGAGAGTGGTCTCAACATGGTTGGTTGGGCAGTACTCGACGGTTTCCACAACAGTCTCCGTAACGACTTCAGGCTCATCACGCTTTACGATGGCGTTACCAGGAGTATAGGCGTTACCTTGCACGTAGCTAGCGATGACAGAACCACCCTCAAGCATGGTGCTGCCGTCAATGCTGGCAACAGCCACATCAGAACCAGAAAAGTCAACGTTGTCCAACACAAGGACACCGCCACCATTGGGAATGCTGTCATCGGAGAAGGCAGTCACAACACCGGTGGGAGTGTTGGTCAGTGTACTATCGAGGATCAAGACGGAGCCAACAGTCTGGTTGGAGGGCGAGTTCGACATGTTGAGACCGGTCTGGCAGTTGTTGATCGACAACGACTTGAAAGTCCAGGCCCAGTTCCAGTTGACGAAGATGGCGGTGTTGCAGTCGTTGAAAGTAAGGTTGCGAGTGGTGAATTGCTGGTTACCCAAAAACATACCGTAGTTACCGCCGTTGAAAGTCAGATCGGTCATGAAACCACCGGAGCCGTTGTCCATGAAGATACCCTGCTGCTTGTTGGCATCACCACCGCCGCGAGCCAACTCGAAGCGGATGTTCTGCAAGCTGGTGGCCTGACCAACCTGCCAGTGAATACCAGCACCGGATCCCTTCGGCATCTCCGTCAAGTCGACAACAAAGTTGCGAATCGACCGGAAGAAGTTGTTTTGGTTCGTGTACCAGCTGGTCCCCTCGTCATCATATGGATCGGCATCGATAACGGCCATACCGGAGAAGTCAGCGCTGGCCTTGATCACAGGCAGGTTCAGCGCATCACCAATCATCTGGGTGTAGTAGTACTGAACAACGGGCTTGGAGACCACGTAGGTACCCGCGGGAAAGTAAACCAGAGCCGGGGTCGTGGTGGACGAGTCGCAGCCTTGGCCACAGCGGTTACCGGACGAGATGGCCTCGTTGATGGCATCCGTGTCGTCGGTCGATCCATCACCTATTTGGTCAGTAGGTAAATCTCAATTAATTTCTCTGAAGCAGACTTACCCTTGGCGCCAAAGTCCTTTACGTTACGGAAAACCTGGTAATCCGAACTGTTTCCAAAAGCCACGAGACCCTGGTGCTTCACGCCCTCAACCCAGTACGCCGAGTCTCGGGAAACGAGCGAAGAGTCCTGGATGGGCGACGCGAGGGCGACACCCAGCAGCTGGACGAACAAGAATAGTGTATATAGTAGTTGCATTTTGCCTGGTTTTTTTCTTTTTTTGCGATTCCGACCAGCAGACTCGAATAACGAACGAACGGTGTGATCAAAAGGGAAAAGAGAGAATAGCAACCAGTGCTATTCTTGGTGGTTATAAAGGGAAGGAATGCAGGGGCCGCAGAAAAGAAGGAACGACGAGAAAAAGAAAAGAGTGAAAACAAAGAGTGAATGGCGATAAGTAGGGAAACACAAGGAATAAAAGGGAAGAAAAAAGGGAAAGGAATGAAAAAGAAAGGATAAAAGAGAGCTTCAACAACGCCCGATTGGGCAATTGCCGGGGACTTTTATATAAACCGGCGCGACGAGAGATCTCAGGAGGCGGCCCACACAGACCAATCAATGCCCACAGCCTGGCCGAGTTGAAACGCACGATGAAACGTCCAAGTCGGGGAGGGGAATTAAGGAACGACTAGAAAGAGCGGCAGTATGGTGAAAAGGCCAGTACAGATGGAAAGAGAGCCAGCGACACTCGTTATATAAAGCCCTGAAGAATGCTATACCCCGATCAACATTCCCGGCAAGTAAACATCAAGCGCGGCGTTCGGCGACGGTATCCAGGGATGCAGCAGAGGATTTCCCTTCTGGATAGAGCATCAGTGGATAGACAAGCTTTGCACAGATCAGCCTCCTTAATTAAACCCGAAGAAAGTCTAGCCGTGATCTCTGACTCGTCCACAGCGGCTGCCCCTGATTAGACACATCCGAGAGCCTGAACAGCGCGTCCACATATTCTGTAAACTCTGGCCTGCCTCATCGTGAAGTCTCCATTAATACCGGGATGAGTCTGTCGTCACAGTGCTGTTCATATCCGTAGATTATTTCCGATCTTCTGTACTCGGTAGCCTCATGCACATCCCGCATTATCCGGGGGTCCCTCACTCGCCCTCCAGACCAGCTCAGAATAAAGCAACCTTCGCCTAAGCGCTTCGACTCCGGACCCATCATATTTGCCGAGCGGATTCTCATTTCAACTTCATCCACCCTTCCTGGGCGCCTAGATATCCTGTAAACACTCGCGGTGTGCCCTTGATACACTGCCAAGGGTGATTCACATTCCGTGCGGCATCAAAGGGTCGCGGTGAGATCTTGAACGTGGTCTGGCCTGCTGATAGGCCTGGACGAAGATGGTCATGGCAAACGAGGGGCGAAGCTAAGAACAGATGGTCCTCTATACGGAGTAATATTATTCACGTTGGTGATGACTGTTCACTGAATACGGGTCGCGTGTTGGTCGCGCGGAATTATGTACTGATGAATAATCAATCTATGTTTATAATGGTTATGCACTGTGCACCCGAAGTATAACTGGAATGAGGGAGCACAGTTGAACTGCAATAATGATATTTCCAGGCTGCTAGTCGCTATTATGAAGTAAACCTCTTATTCAAGAGGTTAGAAGTTAGTTTGGTTTATATGTATGGTACAAGCAATAGCGATGAAGCCAGAACTCAATTGTTGCTAGCCGATGTCGGATATACATATATCTCCATGCCACCGCCGGACTATATATTTCTATACTTATTGACCGTTAATACACAGCTGCCGCGCGTGGTATATGCTGAAACGTATGAAGATTAAGTGCGTACTCGATCCCCTCGAGTACTTGCTCCTGCTCAAGGGTGATCACATGTTATCAGGTTTTTCTTGGTCCTATTGTGTACTCTCTTTCCCCCTTCACCTCTCTCCACCCATCAATCAAACATTTCTCGTCTAATTTTTTTCTCTCTTCATACACCATAACCTGTCGCCCAAATGCCTTCTTCATCTTAAGAATGGAGCATTGCATTGCCTCAATATCCCATCGAAACACAGTCATCGACTGACGACATTCTGGATTAGACGCCTCTTGACTAAAACGACACTCCGCTCCATACTCGGAAGCATATCAAGTGTATGTGCCTTACTCTACCTTACAGCATGACCGACAAAACCTGACTCGAGTTTGCTCCCATAGGTCTCAACTTGCTCCGCACTCCA